ATATATATTTATTTATTATCTCTCTCTCTGGCTTTCTTTCCTTGCACTTACTCTGCATTGTTTTGCTCGTCCTCCTTTGCCTCTTCCGCTGGCTTTGCTTGCTGCCCMAACTCCTCGCTGCTGCTGCTTGGCTCAAGTACCTCGACTCTATCTGGTGGTAAGATCGTCCACGATGACGATGTACTAATGGGTAGCGTCTGCTCCGGTGCTTTGGTTATGTTGCTGTTACTTTTATTGCTGTCGCTGCTGCCGCTGCTGCCGCTGCTGATGTTGCTCTGATCGTCCATGATGCTGCTGCTGCTGCTGCCGCTGCTGCTCTTGCTCTGCTCCTCATCCATGCTGCGTCGTCGTTGTCTGGTCGGTCTGGGCTGTTGGCCTCTTTGTCTGAAAAATGCATACAAGAAACAGAATAAGTCAAAGATATTTTCGTATCGACCTTCGTGGCGCTCGAGAATTATAGCTAGCCAATGGCCAATGGCCAGTGGCGTCACTAGCCACGGCCTCTGCTCAACAGTGCTGGCAAACCTGTGAGTTTATAGCTGAATTTCGCTTACTTTAACGCCTTTGGCTTTGTTTATTTATCAAGCAAATATTTGCAAATAATTTATTATTCTTTATGCGATTATTTGGTAAGTGAATTGCAATCTTAGTGTGAGTACTTGAATATGTTTTTTGTTTTTCCTATTTATTTTTCTTTTTTGTAATATATTTTTCACAAATTTTTGTCGACAATTTCTATTTTGGGACTGATGCTGAACAGTGTTGTTAAGCGAACGATTCTACAGCTCTAACTGACTGTTCTTACAAAAGCCTACTTCCCTACTGACGGTTCTTACAAAAGACAAATTACCGACTAGTTTTTGATTTGACTGTTTTATATATGTATTCGTATTTTAATTTTTATAGTGTGCTGTTTTCAGCTTAAAATGTGTTTTAGTGCTGAATCTGTTTTCCATTACTATTATATATATATATTTGTTTGATGATTGACTGTTGAGCCTTAAATGCGGCTGTTTTATAGACAATTCTATTTATTTTTTGTTAGAGCGTAAATGTGGTTAGTTAAATACCTTTTAAATGGCTTTAAAATACGCTGCTTTATAGCTAAATATTTTGCTGTCTGTTTTGTGTAAAATATGCTCTGCTTTTTAAAAATTATTTATTTTATTTTATTTATTAATTTTGAGCTAAGAACGCTGTTTTAT